ATGTTCCCATATTCGTCCCTAGAGGTCGTTACATTAAAAAAGTTCCTGTTCACGCGTATGCACATTCCTTTTTAAAGAAGATTAAATGGTTACCTAAGAATGGTTGAAATGAGTACAATTTACAATAAATCTCTTTTTTTCCTTTTTTTTTTTTTTAAACCTGAGTTTCATTTTTTTTTTTTTTTTAATTGAAAAACATTTAGTGAAATAAATTTAGCCGTACCAATGCGATATTACGATATTGTGCGTTTATTTATTCACTACATATATACATATGCTTTTTTTATACATTCATTAAAGTGTATTTTTTTTTTATTATTTTTCTCTAATATAACTGAACGCAAGTAATTAAGCTTTTTCCCCCCACACACGCGGAAGAAAGCCAACTTGTTTGTTCAGAATAACTTGTCATAAGTATGCGTGTACCTTCTGATGGCACACTAATACTGTGCCCCTTATGGCGTACGTGAGTGTATATAGCCGTACGTTTGCCTACGTGCTTGTTCCCTGGTCGTGTGTCAGTGTATCTGCGCGCATAGCATATGTTTGCTTGAATTTTTATATACACCCTGTATGTCACGTGTGAGGGCGCCCACCTTTTTGCGCCTTTTACTCGTTTTACACCCCTTTTGCACGTTTATGTATGAGCCTACCTACACACATGCGAACACTTGTGCAAATGTTGGCACATATCGCTTGAAACGTATTAACAAAATGTTTATGACCTTCCCCCCTGCACCCACACTTTCACCTTTTTATTATTGTTTATGATGATAATAGCAGTTGTAAATATTGTTGTCTTTCTTTTCCATTCCTACCCTCTTTTGTTGCAAGAAAAATAATACAAGATGCTTTTTGTAAAATGAATTCTTTTGACAAGTAAGCTTTCTCCTGTTTTTCTAACTTCGCATGAGTGAAAGGAAAGATTGTATAACGGTAAGGCTACCTGTTAATTCTTCTATGTGTTGTTTTTTTTTTTGTTTATTTGTTTTGGGCTACATGTGTGTAAAATTGTAGCTGTTTTTTTATTTTATTATTTTTTTTTTTTCTTGCCCTACCTGTTTGTTCGAAAATTCTCCTTGGAAGATGAAATTATTGGTCATATTTTTTTGTTTAGTAATATTTTTTTTTGAGGACAATTTCGGTGTTAAAATATACACAAATGATTCAGCCATATTTGACATTAACAAGCTGCTAAAGAGCAGACTTTCAGTACTATACAGAAAAGGACACAAATTAAACAATTATTTTTTTTCGTACATTGAGAAAAATGGCAAGAAGAACAAGTGTTATAAATACATACAAGATGCCTTGTATGACTCGAACACCCAGATAATGAAAAGAGAAGTATTTAGATGTTTAAATACGAGTAAGGATGTACTGAGCAAAACATTCCACGATGTTATTAATAAGCTATTTTTATATATAAAAAATGTCTTTATAAAAAAGTATTTTATTTTTTTCCTTTTATATTTAATAAACATTAATTGCGACAGCTTGGTGTCACAAGTTAACGATCCCTATGTGTTGAACAATTATAATTTGTCTGAAAACGCCTCTCCCGCCATGTACAATTTGAAGTACGAAGAATTGGAAATACCCAGTGCAAGAAAAATAAAAGGTTGGTTAATAAAGTCGAACAAAAAAAGCAATAAGTTGTTTTTACTGCTACATGGATATAACGGCAATAGGCAATCATGTTTATTCTTTTTAAATATTTTAAAAAAATTAAATGTGAATCATGATACGAATATATTCATCCCAGATATGCAAAACTTCAACGAAAGGGGAGTAGAAGATATATACAACATTTTAATCTACTTTAAAGATAAAATGGCATTAAATGATGTAAATGTGTATACGCAATCATCGACTAACCTTCTAGTTTTACTTTTGTCCAAACATTATAAGAACAAAATTGTTAGCAAGTCTAAGCAGAAATTTATCAACAATATTATTCCCTACAGCTGTGATAAAAAAGCTGGACAGGAGGACATTATATATATAGACAAGTACATATTTGACTCGCCCATATTGAATCTCCAAAGAACAATTAATATTCATTTTAATTTACAAGATATCCAGAAAAAAATAAATGAAGAAAAAATGAAAGCCAATGGTGACGTGAATAATTTGTATGACAAGAAGACTGTGGTGACTTATTTTATTTCCTTTTTTATGTGGCTACTGAACAATCAACTGAAGGGACAACTATACGATTTCGACTTCAACAAATTGGTTAATGAGAATAACATCAACCCTGCGAACATATACATTTTGCATTCCTTGAATGATAACATTTCGCTGCTGAATGTTCTTTCCCAAGAGGTGAAGGAAAACAGATTATTGCCTCTCAAAAATATTTATATATTTAAGAACGGACGACACGCCAATATTTACGAGTCCTCAAAGAGGGAGTATGATTTGATTGTGAAGAGGATTATAAAGGGGTTTAATATTTTAGATTTTATATACTACATCCCCATGCGCTCCAGGATGAGTTCCCTTAGTTTTTAGCCGTAAGCGGTAAGCGGTGGTTATATGTGAATAGGCTTCCATTTGGCGCAGAAGAAAAACAGTTTGAGGCCACAAAAAGGCGCGCCTTACATCCAGGCAAGTGGTAGGTATTGCATCAGCACGGATGTAGTGCGTATCGCATTCTCAGAAAAATTAGCAACATTACGGCAAAATACTTATGTACAAATTAAATTCAGCGTGTGGTACATTTTTACAAATTTTTGGAAGATAAAAAAAGGAGCGATCGATGGTGGGAAGGCGCGCAATTCATTAAACATGCACCAGCATGTGTGGAGAAATATTATATATGTGTATAACGTGCAATATATAATATTAAGTCTAATTACTTATGGGAATGGCGGCCATTAGACCAACCAATCTAAGACCAGCTTTTATGAGAAACACCTTTTTTTTTTTTTTTTTTTCTATGTGTGTCTATGAGAAAGGTCGTGTCATGGCATATTCATGCTTTACCAAAAGTATTTTAAAAATTAACTTTATTTTATGGTTTACTGTTATTTTTTTAAATGCGTATTTGCATCACCATGCGCGTGTAACATACATGCATGGGTATATGGTTCGTTCCTGCTTATTTAATGAAGCACAAACGCGAATGTGTATATGTTCCGCATTATTTACACACCGTGAAAGATCTTTTCAAAAGAACGTCGTACAAACAAGTGTAAGTGGTGCACATATGTATATGCATTCAAGTGGGTAAATAAATTTTTTCTTTCTTTTTCTTTTTTTTTTTTATAGTAATGACTTATTAACACACTGGCAATTATTAAAATGAAAATTCTTTGTTTTTATGCAGTTACGTGGAGCAATATACGTATGGGCAGGGGGGGGGGGCAATGGACCGTAAGTAATATCCAATTTGTCGGTATCACGGACTGGACACGGGTGTGGCTAACCGAAATGGTTTTTTTCCTCTCCTTTTGGTTTAGAATTGTTTATACAGTCGTATATATGTCTCTCCCCACCCCCGTCTCACCTATTCTTTTGTGCGTATCTTCTTCGTGACTTAGTGGAGGGTAAATTCATAACCCTTTTCTTATAGGACTTTCTGGCTTTCCACTTAAAATAAAGTACCTTTCTAACATTATCCTCTTTGCATACATTACTCCTTAGCATGAATGAGGAATTGTTAGGCAGGCTGTATATGTCTAGAGAGGCACTTTTATTTACAGCTTCTTCTCTTTGCACACTACGTAGGACATTATCTAATCGGCCAATTTGCTGTAATTTCAGTTGCGTGTTTTGTCTTGGTTTTAATTTCTCCGTTATCGAGTTTGTGCTAATTTTGCATTTGACAAAGTTGCATAAATTTTTATTTTTTGATCCAAGAGGTGTCTTAAAAAATAAGGCGTTTTTTGTTAGTATGCTAAAAAATGGCATATACATGATTCAGTACCAATTGTTGCGTGTAAGGGGGGGTTGGAAAAAAAAAACAATGCGTTCCTCTTTTTTTTTTTTTTTATTTTCTTTATTGCTTAGCATAGAGGGGATAAATTGGACGTAGCACAGGTAATTAGTATTCTCTTTTTTGCCTGTATGTTAATTCGTACATGGGTGATATTTTTTCCAGTCGTGCATTCTGCGCTGTTCTGCCAGAAGAGGGCGCTCATCTGTCAATGGGGCAAACAAGCTTATACAAAAAATTGCAAAAATGGATAAAAAAAAAAGAAAATGAAAGATTTGCCCATGCACAATTAAGAGGTGAACAAGTATATTTTCCTTTCTCAACAGTCAAGAAAAAAGGGAATATAAATCAGATGGTACACATGTGTTTTTCTTAAATAAACAAATAACCTTTTTTAAAGTATAAAAAAATAAATTAAAATTCGTCGCAGAGTTAAAATGTCGCTATTGCGTATTTGCACAGCGAAAAAAATTATCCGCCATTTGCAATAAAAACAACGGAGAGGTAACACTTCATAACTGTGTGCCAAAAATGGGGGCAGTAAGAATAAGCCAGGGGATGCGCAATAACAATGGCAAGATGCCTAAATAGAGGAAACAGAAAAAAAAAAAAAAAAAAAAGGAGAAAAACTTAACAACAGCATCTTCGCGTCATTCGCACGTGTACACGTACATCGGCATTTTGCGCTGTGTGTGACGCATTCTTCAAAACTGCGAGGACAGTTCGTTGGAGGGGGTGCACCCGAAAATGATCACATGTGATATGGGCGAATGTGCGAGCAATTGTGGCTGAGGGGAAAAGGGAATGTGCACTTGCATATACATATGTATGCCTTCCTTATTGTGATAATTTTGCCCCAATACATGCTTCCACTTGACAGTTTCGGACACGCGTCCCCGATCCTTATGCTTACACACTCCTTCTGCATCTTTGTCATTTTATATTCCCCGTTATGAAGTTGCGAGCAATGCTGCCCCGATGCCGCGTTGCCGCGTCTGATGATGTGCCGCCACGGCTGCATTCCCATGGGGAGGAAGCGACACATCACTCGGATAAACTAATGTTGCAGACCCAGATACATAGCCAATTGATAATCCAAAAATGTAACCCTTTTGTTTAAAAGCGTTTTCATTTTCTGAATAAAAATTTCCTCAATTTCTGCCATTATGCAAATGAGGACTTGAAGGAGAATGATAAAAGATACGAAAATAAAAAAAAACAAATTTGTTTTTACGTGGAAATGGAATGGATCTTTTATTTCAACAAAGATGGTGATGTGTATTAGCAAAGAAGCAAACAAAATTATGAACAAGTTGAAGTATTGTCTTAATTTAAAAAAAAAAAATCGATTCAGAATGTTTTTTCTTTGTTCATTTAGTATGAAATGTGTGACAGTGGTTATGTTTTCACTCTCTGTAGATTTAATCCTGTGTGCTTCCCCCGAGGCGGTGTATTGTACTTTGTCATTTTGTCCATCTTGTTCAAATGAACACGGGTAGTTTCCTTGTACTATTAAACTGTTATGTGGTTGTGTTTGTTTCGAATCTGTTCCATACGGAGGCGCGTTAGATGGGTTAAAAAACGAATGAGTGAGAGCTCCTCTCATGTTTGGTAAAAGGACTAAGTTGTTCCCATTCATCGTTGGTGCATTTTTGCTAGTGCTACCTCCTCCGCTGTGGTGTACATATCGCTCGTGATTATATTCTGCCTTTGTCACATTGTGATGCCCATTTTTGAGTTTATCAAGTATTTCAGAGTCCGCAAAGCGAACAGAAGTTTTTTTTTTAATGGACCAATTGTTATACGAATTCGTAAATTGCTCCTCGGCTGTTAAAGCTTTCTCATTGTGTCCCCCCTTTTGGTGACCTTCCAACTCCTTGCAAAACGAATTGCCATTTTTTTCATGCACTGAAAATTTCTCCTTAAAAAAGGAGGAGTACTGTGGAAATAGTTTGCTCATGATATGTATTAAATTAACCCTGTCTAGGGAAAAAATGGCGTTTTTGATTTGATTTTTGAAAAAAAAATAGAAAGCGTTGTTTAAAAATAGTATGTACAGTTCTGCAATGAGGATATAAAGAATACACATTGTGGCTTTTGTGTTGATGCCCCTCTCTTGATCAAGCAGGAAGTCGCTCTGTAGTAAGGCATAAAAAATTAGGAGATTCACGGAGTAGAGGACGATATGAAAAATGAGGAGTCTCTTTTGCGTCCTAAATATTTTGCAAATACTGTCGTTTATGTGGTCCGTCAAGGTGGTGTAAGCTCTACTGTTCTTATCTGCGTAGATACGATTGTTCTCAATGCGAAACAGGGGGAATAGACGCGTGCGCCAGGTGGTCCAGTTGAGTGCGGAATTGGGCTCATTTGGTGGGCAGTTTGGTGAACAGTTTGGTGGTGGTGTTGGCGCACAATTTTGAGCGCACTTTGATTCCCCCTCCGTGCTGCTACTGCTTTTCACACCACCCCACGGATCGTCAGTGCTTTGCTTAACCGTGCTATTTTGTGTACCTTCCGATGGCAAACATTGCTGAAGTCCCCTCTTGCCATTATGTACTTTTTTTTTCTCACTATTTTGTTTTCCTATCTTGCTGCTCTTTTCCAGTTTGCATTTTTTGACTGCGCTTGGTTTATTTTCAATTTTTATGGAAATATATTCCTTGGAATTTTTGCTATCGATTTTGTGTATGACCAATTTGGGGGCGCTTACATTTGTTGTGTCTTTAGAGGCGTCTCGAATTTTACGTTTTTCTTCATTTGAAACATATCCGTTATTTGCATCACCTTTAACAAGTTTGATTTGTTTGTCTGCCCTATTCATGTCTACGTTTTTTAAGATAGCACATTTATTGTTTCCCGTTTTTTCTTCATTTTCGTTATTTTTTTTGCTACCACTTAATGGTATTTTATTGTCTTCTTCTTTTAATACCTCTTCTTCTTGTTTATTTTCGTGTTCCACGTGGTTGTCGTTCGTAGGGGGCTTCTCCTCGATGACCTCCGTTTCAGGTTTGTTTTGTGAGTCGATCTTTTTTTGCTTATGACTGCTAGAAGTGTTAGGGTTAAAGGATGGCGGGCAGCTCGCAAAGAGATGGCTTTCTCCTGTAGGTGTTCCAAACCGATTGTTACTCCCCAATTTGTAGATTTTCGCCTTGTGTGATTGTCTGTGTTCATATTCTGGGAATATATTTTTTGCTTCTTGTTCCATTTTGATAATTCTATAATAATCTTGATTTTTGAATTCCTTAATTAGTATATTTTTAATGAGATTTTCCATTGCATTGGGGTCGTATGTGATTTTTTCCCCTTCTTCCTTTTCTGTCTGCATGATGTTGGGTAGAATACATGTTGGATTGTCCTTTTCTTCCCAGGAGTTTCCACTCTGTTCAGGTTTGTTTCTGGTTAGGGGTGCCACTAGCAATTCTCCCCTTGTACAGTTCTCACTACTTAACCTTTCGATTTTTTTGTGTATCCCATTTTGAAGAAGCTCAAGTTGAGACGCATCTTTATAAACATTTTTTTGAACATTCGAATAGTTCGTATTATTTTTATTTTCCTTTTCCGTGTTGTTCCCCCAACTGTTCCCCATTTCTCCAGAGTCGGACTGACCACCATTTGGTATTTTTTCTGTTCTCAAGTTGATGCACCTAAGGGGGTCCTTTATGTGTCTAGAGGCAAAGTGATTACATTGCCCATTCAACGCAGTTGCATTGTCATCTTTGGCGAGGGCGCTGCCCAGCTCGTGCAAAGGATCATCCGCGTTGTTACTTTGCACATTAGCATTTTTAACTCCGTTGGCATGACACGAACTGTAACGAGAATATGTGCCATCCCCTGAAGTGGTGATTTCTTCATTTAAGTTCCTCTTCAAAACGGTATCCTTCCCATATTTTCCATCATTAAGATTGCGTATATGATACATACTATGATGACCGTTAATTCCTGCTTCTGATTTGTCCAGGTTATTGTCCTTTGTTCCGTTGCTTAATTGGTGCTCTCCTGAGTTACGTGTTTTTGCGCCTTGAACGTAATCTGCATTACTAATCATTTTTATTTCTTTATGAGGTACATTTTTGCTGTTTTTAAAAATATGGAGAAGGTATCTATGTTCGTATATTTGTAGCAAATCATCACAGTTGAATTTTTCATTCCTTTCTGCATATTGATTTTTTTTATTATTAATATTGTTATTGATTATAGTAGGTTCCTCCTTTGGGAATGAATTGTTTCTTCCCTCTGTTGCGTTGTCTATATTTTTGAGTCCCTTAACAAATATGTTGTATTTCAAGGTGCTATATTTTTTGGCCTTCATTTTGGAACTTTTATATTCATTTGTAATTATTTTTTTTCCCTCGGAACGAATGTCATTGTGTTTTACTTCCCCCACATGGCTGTTAACGTGTACATGCGCTTTTTGTGTTGCTTGGTCAGAAGTAAGTGTTACTAATCTGTGCAGGAGGGTAGATTTTTCTGTTCTTTTTTTTTTTCCTGGCGGTGACGACATAGGCGCGTTGTCACGTTCACTCGTGTACTTTCTATGCATGTATATGTGACCTTTTTTTTCATTTAAGCTTTTTTCACTTGGCTGGGTGTAAGACAAATTAGACAAGTGATTGTAAAGGGTGACCTCTTTTTTTTTGTCCTCATTAAGGGAGAACTTTTCACTTTGATTATTTTTAAAAAAATTTACTCCATTCTTTTCTTTAATTTTTGATAAGAGTACATTAATTTGTGATTCATTTTTCAAATACGAAATAATTTTGCTGTTTTTTTTTTTCAAACCATGTGGATGTTTTCCTTGTTCGATGCCGCCCTTTGGGGGCAACAAATCAATTTCAGGAGCAGCTTTCATTTTCTCATTCTGTACTCTGACGGCTAAAACAGTCGTGTAATACGGTTGTGCCTTTGTGGCATAATCTTCGTATGATTAGGGTAGCACGGAAAGGATACACACAGATGGCAGCGCGGACGCAGCTTAATGGTTTAATGAACAAAACATTAACAGAAGTATTTAATCTGGGGGCACACACGTGAAACAGACATATATATGCCTGAAAGGCTGCATTTGTCATATGCTGAAATTGCTAATAATCACCCTTTTTGAAATATCATTCTTTTTGTCCTGTCGTATGGCGACCATATCGAAGGAGAACGGGGGGGCCAAAAAAAAAATTTCATAACATTGTTAAAGTGTGCCTTTAAAATGGTATACAATGGCGAGATTTTTATTATTTTTTTCATTTATTTTTTTTTTTTTTTTCCTTTTTAATAACTTTATAACCAAGTATCGCATGTGCCATTAGGACGAAAGGTGTGGACTCACCACGCGCGGTTACTTTGGTCATGTCATGTTGTAACGATTTGTTGGTTTGCCATATTGGAGCAAAAAAATTGGAAAATCTCGATGTGCACATTTTCCCATTTGATGCGCGGGTTGATTCGAGTGGGAAAAAATTAAGGAGGCAGGTAGCATAGGTCCGGGGGTAACGCGAGGGGCCCATTTGCCATTTCGAAGTTGCACAGATGAACAGTTGCCAGTTGGGGGATGAAAAAACAGGTCGGCAAAATGGCAGCAAAATTAATACACAATTTAGACTTGTGTGCATGTACTTGTTGATACGCTGCGCGATGTCATGGCGGAAATTGGGATAAAGTTGTACTGTGGCCCTCCCCCCCCTTTGATACCCCTCCTCTTGTAAGAAGAGCTCACGTGAGAATCAATTCGCATGAGAGCAATGGAACGCCAGGTTGCTAAAGACCAGTGCATGTAGGCTGCCCTACTGCTACATGAACAAAATGGTGTTCCTTTAAAAAAAACACCACCGAAATGTAAACTCGAGTCATATTGGAAAAATATTGTCCAAAATTGTGCATACTAAAATTTGACCCGAGTTAAAAATGAGTGGAGAATTCTGCGGGGTTAAAACAGCGAACTTATCCATTTTCATTTTTAAAAAACTTATTCACGCTGTTTCTTTATGTTCTCATTTTCCACAGCTGCGTTTAGCTTCCCTTGGCGCTTTGTCAACAAATGGATTTTAAGGTGCTAAAATGGTGGCCTTTCCATTTTGTGGGCATTAGGCGGGATTTCAAACAAGGTGGTCGCATATTTCATATGCTTCCTCTGCGCGACTGCTGCATGTGTCACTTTGCAACATACGACAGGGTGTACGGCTGTTGTGCAAAATGCCTCCTCCGCATACAATAGGAGAGCAAAGCATAACGGCCTCTCCACCTGGTGAAATCCATTTTGCTGAAGAAAAATGCGAAATGAGTCCTTACCCAACGTGCCGACATTTTTTTTTGCACCTCAAGGTTAGAAGTACCTTTCACATTTACACAATGTAGTAGCCATCCATTTTAGCCGTTGTCATTCCTTCAATGGCTAAGTGGCGTGTTCACATTTTTGCGAAAATCGAAAAAAAAGGCTATGCGCACTACGTAAAGCGGCAATGCAAAATATGCACATGAGAAAATGTACAGGTAAATGTGTGCATATCTACCTATATGCATATGCTTACACGTACGTAAATTTCTTGTGTAGAAAAGAGGGTACGCAACCCTTGTTTTCCCATTGGCATGCGTACCGCGTACCCTTATGCAGCCTTGCGTACATGCGAGTAACGTAAAAAGGAGAAGGAGAAAAACACACGGAGAAATGTAAAAGGTGGCATATGTGGAAAATGAAAACGCGTATAATTAAAATTACAACATATTAGCGGTGTGGTAGCGCGCGCTTCAGTATTCTGTAAAAAAGGGAGTTCTTTAAAAAAAAAAAAAAAATCCTGCGTAGTGTATATGTATATGTGCTTGTACTAGCATGAGAACTACTGCGTACCGGTACGCGAAAAAGGCAATTATGTCGTCTGAGGCATTTTTACCTTCACCCCTTGTTTAAGAAATAGCAATTTTTTCGGTTATGCGAGGCAAATATACTTGTTTTTTTTCCTCATGGTTTTGCTGCACTTGGGCCACATTTTGGCACTCGCCATTTTGCCACTTTTTTTCATCGTGCCCCCCTACATTTTTCGGTTATGCGAAAAAAGAAAAAAAAATTTGTAGATCTCACATAAGTACATTTTTTCCTATGTGCCTTTTACCCCAGGAAGGAGAAACAAGAAAACAAAAAAAGTCATTATATGCACAAATATACCGTATGCCACCCTCACCGGACTATGAAACCATGCGTTTGTTAAAAAAAAAAAAAACAAACAAAATGATTTCCGTAGGCACTGCATAAAATAGATAAATACATACATTAGAAGCTGTATATACTTATATATGCAGATAAACATATATGCATGCGCCAATAAGTTTACCTTTAAGCATGTGCACATATGCTGCCGAAGGTAAAAATACTTAAAAGTAAAGGCAGTGGTACGAGTTTTTCTGTCCGTCCAAGCTGTACAAAAAGATACATAATTATTTATCCCCCCCTCTCCCCCGAGATATATACACTCTATTTAAGCCCCAATGAAATATCTGGAGAAAGATTCGCAAGAGAGCAGACCTCATTACAATGATAGGGATTATGGCTCAGAGAGAAAAGACTACCGAAGTAGTTACAAAAAAGTATTGTGGCCACTGAATCTTAGGATTCACGATGTTGAAGATAAAAATTTAAAGAAAGAGTTGTGCCTAACTGTTAGTAACATACCAGTTGACTGGACAAAGCTTGATATTACCTGGTTTTTTAGGGAATATTTTTACAAGCTAGCCATTGACAGGAGCATCGAGTTCCCGCTAATCGAAGAGGTGTATATGATAAAAAATGAGCCGTCTGCTATTTTGGCGTGTCACGATTCCGTGTCGAGGGAGACAATTCAGAACCTGTCCAACTGCACGGTTAGGAGTGTTAAGGATAAAAAAAAAATTATGCTGAACATACAGCCGTATTACAAGGAGGAGGAGGTGGCGGAAAAGGAGAAAGGGAAAAACAGGGATGGAAAAAAGGAGAACGGCGAAGAGGGAGACAGAGAGAGTAATGGAGAGGGAAAGGAAGACAAGAATGGCGACACCGAGGAAGAGGAAGAAGCAAATGGAAAGCACTCCCAGGAAGAGAAAGAGGACACTGAGGGAGGGAGAAGCAAAGGTGAAAAGGAAATACCGGGCGACGATGAAAATAAAAAAATAAAAAGGATGAGAAAGCGCTCCGCGACCCCGCCAACAAGTAAGAAAAAAAAAAAAAAAAAAAGTGAAAAAAACAGTGACATTAGAAAGGGAGGATTCATGTGTCATTTAAAAAGTGCCCATGAAAAGGGAAATTATTTGTGCCACCAGAAAAGTGTTCAAGTTAAATGTTCCATGGGGTGTCTTTGGCACTGTTCATACATTTTCATTAGCAGAGATGAACCTCCTTGTACGCGTTTGTACGTTTCTACCGCTACAATCGCGTGGGTCATCCAAATGAATGAATTATTCCGTGGAACGTGTATAATTCTGCCCACTTCGCACAGCATATCCTCTGCGCAATTTTCTCCTCTTTTATTTTATTTATTTTTTTTTGTGCTCTCCCTTTTTTGAACAACACAGAACATGGAATGGAATGGCCAAAGGACCTAGAACTAAGGAACTGCAACGATATAGACCTGCGGAGAAAATTGTGCGTCTTCGGAAGATATAAGCCACTGCATTGGGGTGTGAAAGAATTGACTTCATTTCTAAAGTACTATTTTGATACCTTAAAAAGAGATCACGAAAATTTTGAAATTCCAGAAATAAGTTATATGTGGGCAGATAAAGGAACCCACTTAGTGACTTTTGCATGCAGGAATGAAAAGTCGAGGTACAACATGCTGTTAGTAAGGGCATGCTACCTAAATGAGGATGATGCGAAACATAATATAAAAAATGCATTAAGAGTATGGATACAGTTTGAAAAATGGACCCCATATAAAAACCCCATAAATTCAAAATATAAAAATTATAACATGCCAAGAGGTGATTTTAACAAATATTCCTATCCACATGAACACACCATGGATAGAGGTAGTTATACACGGAGCTACAGACATCCTCCGTATGATGATTACCCAAAACATAGAGCTGGTTCTTACAGATATAGTGGAAATGGACATAGCAGAATGACCCCCCCTTCAAATTATTACCATCATAATTCTGATGATAGAGGTCGAAGAAATTATGACCATGTGAAACATCCCTACCAAAATAGATCCCCTTCTCCTCATGCACAATCACATCACAACAAATATAAGAAAAAATACTCGCGTTCTCCTACCCCTAAAGATTATCATAAAAAGAAAATTAAAAGATCCAGGTCCCATGACACATACAAGGAGGAAAGCAACACCCACTCTCGTAAACATAAGAGCAACGCATACCATTAGGCGTTTGTGGGGTGGGAAGCGCCACAGAAGAGCTATACTTGCCACGCATATATAAATGTATATATGTTTTTTTGTATTATTCCTCTATGTATAGTGACGGGGGGGTGGTGGATGCGTCGAGGGAAAGCATTTTGTTTCCGTCGTGCGTGTGTGTTGTTCATCTGTGCACGCGTTTGTGCCTTTTGCCTATGCGCGCGCACGAGGATTGAGCCTGTCTAGGGTTCACAGCAAATTGTTTTTGTATTGAGTGCGGCCAGGGAGGCACAGACCAAGGGCGTATGCAGCTCGTGAGCGTGCGTCCACTGGAAAAAGTCCCAAAAATGGAAAAAAACACGACAGGTGCGATAGTTGCGGAAGTGCAGCAAATGCGGCAATTGTAACCATCGCAACCGTCATACCCATTTTACAGTAGCTGCATAAAAATAGCTGCTGTGGACTATCCTGGGAGCAGGCATCTGTGGCGACTGCGGCAGGATTAGTCCATTCATATATAATTCAAAAGAGGTGGTTGGTTTGCTGCCGGGCTAGTAGACCGTCTGGCTGATCGGCTTCTTCCATTTTTGAAGCTGTAAATCATTTGTATTTTTGCGGGAAATTCGTTGTCATTTTTCGCACACACATATTCATGCGCATATAATAAGGCGGCACAAAACAAACAACTCGTACAGATCCCTTTTCAAGCAACTTTCCCTTAGCATTTATTGTTCCAAAAGTTTCTGAATTTACGACATGACGCTTAGGTGAATTCGCTCGAGATATAATTCCACATTTTTCCTGTGTTTTCGCCCACCTGCTTTTTGCCCATTTTTTACCTCTTTATTACCCCTTTATTACCCCTATATTAACCCTTTTTTTTTTTATGACGCCCTTTTAAAAGGTTTATCACATTTTTAGAAAGAATGAGAGATAGGTATTTTATATACCTATCTCATAAGAGGAAATTTTCAAGCTGGATAAACTCTTGCGTATTTAATCCAAGTTCTAGTTTTTCTTCCTCTCTATTTTCTGTCTGCACCGTGTTCTCATCTGTTTGCATATTATCGTCATCGGTGTGTGGATCCCAAACGGTTTCATTTTTGCCCTGCTGCTTTTGTATGACATTATTTATTATATTTAGGCATATCCTGGTGATGTTCTTTTTATTAGTATTGAGATTTTGAATGACACCCATATGGATTAATTCGCCTATGTAACATTTGATGGTACGCAGATTGGCAGTGAGTCTGTTGTCTAGCAGAGCAATGGTTGAACGTTTGGCGGCGATATTGTTGTTTATTTGTTTAACTTGATTTTTTACAATTTTAATTTTGTCCTTTTTGTGTTTAAGTATTAATTTCAAATCATTATTATGATGTTCTTTTTTTATAAAAAAATGATTTAAAATTGTTAATGTGGTGTTATTCTGTTCATTGTACATGGCTTTTTTTTTAATTACGTCATGATATAGTTCTTCCATACATTGTGTATTTTCCTTTATGAGGCTTTTTTTTGTTTTCATTTGTGCAAAGGTGTTCATTATTTTCCTGTTGGCATTTTGGATGGCTTTACATAATTGAATGATGTCTTTTTTTAGCCTATTAATTTTGATATCTGTCAACACATTTTGTTTTTTTCTTTTTAGCAGAACTGCTTGTTGATTTATCAATTTTTCGTAAAGACTTTTTGAATTATTTTTTATTTCCTGGATTTCGCTTTCCAGGTCCTGAATTTGTTTTTCCTTAATAATGATGTTGCTTTCGATTTCTTTAATTTGGTTTTCCACTTTACTCATTTGGTCAGCGGTCGCAGATGGAGAAGCTGTCGTGCTAATGTGTGCATGAGCATGGAAGATTTGTGAAAATTCGTTAATAAAGTGTTTGGCGGGGGTGTGCCCTTTTTTCTGAGGAAGTTATCCAAACTTCGTCTATGCTCCCCTTCCGTTATGACTTTCTGTCAGGGGAAAGTGTTTCGTGGGGGAATTTTAGTGGGAAGAAAATAGTTGATTTGGAAATGTACGTTTGAGAAGTTTGTCTTGTTGTTGTAGCTTTGTAGAGAATTGCTCAAATGGGCATTATTAATAGTAGCATCATGCGTAGCAGACATGGACGCTGCCGCGTTTCGAGAGAACGACACAAGGCGAAGCGCCTCTTCTACTGTCCGTTATATCCGTGGACATTTTCTAAATTTAAAAGCAATACACCTTTTTAAAAACAAAAGAGGCACAAGTTATCCCAATGGTTTGAAATGGAGGCTTGGTACTCTGTGCACGTGTGTATATGCACACTGGGTTAGGCACATTTCGTGAGGAATGAACAAAAAAAAAAAAAAAAAAAAAAACAACGCAGTTTTATTGTCACTCTTCACGGAGGACAATTATATAAATTGAAAAAAAAAAAAAAAAAAAAAGAGTAACAAATGTGCAATGTGGAAATTTCGAAAAGCCGGAGAAATGTACTTACGCACGCTCAATTGTTTTTCAATAAAAATTAAGTTTGCGCAGAGTGCTAAAGAGCTAGTAGGCACTTGAATTTTTAAACAACTCTTGTTCTGCGTCTTTCAGAAAGGAATGTATATAGCATGCGCTGCTTGGTAGGTCCTTGTCCTGACTTAGTGATTCGAGTTGTTCTTTAATCATTTCCTCACTATTTAAATTGCACTTGTTCGTAGTCTCGTCCTCACTAGTGTTGCTTTCAAGGTCATCCACAATACTTTTGTAATTATTTTTTTCATCAGGATAGTCTTCTTCTTCTTCAATTGGTAAGTGCTGATTATGATAATATAATTCCTCTGTGAAGACTAAATTGCACTGGCACATTTTGTCCACCTTCTCCTTTGTGCACTCTGTGGTTTCTTCAAAGATGTTGTATTTTTTGTAAAAGGTTAATAATGGGGCAAAGAATGCCATGGCGCTTGTTAAGACGGGGGTGGATGACACAGCACTTTGCGAAGCCACAGCTGCGGGTATGGCTGTGTTGGGTACGGCGGCTGAAAGGGGCGCCGTTGAGGATGCAACAGCCGGGGTGACGGCTGGTGAAAAACTGAACGGGATGCAACCGCAACATGTTCCTGAGCTGATAGACCCAGTTAAAGCGGCTACGAAGGATGTTAAATGATGCGGCATTGTGATTAAGGGGAGGGAGAATTATACGGATGCACGTGTAGATGGTTGGACTAGTTTCTACTTATTAACAGTGATGCGAAAAACTGCCACAAGGAAATTAGGAAGCGCTGAAAAGGGATGTAATGTCTATGGGGGTTAATTTTACATAAACCAAAAATGTTTTTTTTTTTTAAATAAAAATGGTGTCAGTGAAGTTTTATTCTGTTCATTTAGCTGTTTTTTTTTTTTTTTTTTTTTTTTCATTTTTCTTTTTTTTTATTTTGCTATTTCGAAGTGGCGTTCTTGTGTAAACGGAAAGGAAAAAAGCACAAGGGCAGATCCTACGTAGTGTGTTACGAAGATTGATTTGCCCAGCTCTGGTGGTACATTTTCATTTAAATAAAATTTTAATGTGAGTGACCAAAAAATGCAACCTTTTATTGTTGACTTTTTTCCTGTTATGGGGAAAATCAAGAAACACACTACCTCTACATATCCCCCAGCGAAGGAAACGCCTGTGTAATTTTTTTTTCTATATATCGCTACCGATTAACGAGGGCGTCAACATCAACGTATGTACAGAACATCACTACGCAGAGGAGTAAATATGCGCATATTTTTTTAATGCGAGACAGTGTGATATGCCTTTGGAGGGGGAGAAAAAAGTGCCAATTTTTTCATTTTCCAGGGAAAACGTTTGTTACATGGGGTATATGCTGCTGACATGGGTGTAATAATCCGCCATAATGCGCAGAAGGAAAAAAAAATAATAGGCGAAAAACGCCAGCCAAAGGAGCTTTCAATTTAGATTAAAGGGGGAAATGAAAGGGGAGTACATTTTAGCCTTTTCTGTGCATAGGGTGTAGGCTTATTGTATTAATGAGGGCTCAACATGGAGATGCATTAAAAAGGTGTCCTCTGCGAGGCATTTAAAAAAAAAAAATACAAAAATGAAGAAGCATTTTAACCTGAGAAGAAACATTTTTATAAATCGAATATCTTCATTTGCGTAAAATGATGACATGTCTGCAAAGTTGTTTATTGGCCTAATATTGCATTCAGGTGTCCACAAATGTGAAGAATTTTTCTACCGCCTTCGTAATTGGCTTGTTCGCAAGTTGCATACCGCGCTGGTGGATAAAATGCATTCATCTTATAAGGGAGGGAAGCAAGCTGTTAGCAAATATATTTATAATGGAAAAACTAATCCGAGACAGTAAAAAAATGAACACGATTTTTTTTTTTTTTTGGTAAGTTTTGAGTTCATATTCCTCTATGTCGTTGCATTAAAATTACGAATTTAATCATGTCTCTTTGTGTATGCGTTCTCTAAATTTTCTTCAAATATATATATTTTTTTTTTTTGCATAAAATCGTTGCACGGTTGATGTAATGATACAGGTTGAGAACAAATGGAGGCATACGCTTTTGCTAAACTTGCCATTTCGCCAACCGGTAATGGTTGCCTAGCTAAAGGTTGTGCTTCCCATTGCTTGAAGTCAATTTATTAAACAGTTTTTTTTTGGGGGGGGGGCATCAGATAGCCACTGTTTTAGCGCATTTTTTTTTTTTTTTTAATATAAATATAGTTCCCCCTTTTAAGGCTACATATATTTGTGAACGCTGTTTTCTACAAGTGTGTGTGGATAGGCCCCTTTTTTGGTTTACCCCTTAAAATGTGCGCCGTGCAGTAGCTTTATTTTTTGTGCCTTTCTTCTGTGACGGCAGCGATAAATGGTGGGGAACAAAATTTTTTTTACGCATCATACGGCAGGAGATATGTTCGGGTAAGTATCCATATCAGGAGCAAAATTATAGTGGCCAAAACTATTTTTTTGTGAAGCAAGTATAAATGAAATCAAGTAGGGGCGAATTTGTTACGGGGAAACAGAAGAGAACTTCCAGAATAATTGCTCTGCGGCACGTGGGGTTCTTTGTGCGGGCATTCCTTTGCACGTGTGCGCACAGGGGAGGTGAGAAGCTCTAAATATTTGTCAACTTATCGGGTTGAGGAACACAGCCCAAGAGGTAATAGGTGTATTACTATGATTACAGTTACAGCCATGGAAATATGAGAACCACTGCTTTATTGCGAAAGTGTATTTCCTCTAAATCGGTGGATATAAGACCCTGGCGCCAATCGGGGAAAAGCTTATGCAGGTACGGGTAACTGTGCTTGGTTTCTCTAGGCGGTTAACTGAGAAGTGACAGAGGGGGAGAGACGAATCAGCGGAAATGATGTGTAGGAAGCACCACGACCGGAGCGACTGTATGGGCAAAGACAACGAAGATAACGGAGCGACCTGGCACTTGGCACCTGCGAACATGAACCACATAAGGGGGGAAAGAAGGTAACCCCTGAACTGCACAAAATGGATCCAACGAACAACATGTTTTTCTGCAGCAACACATGGATGGAACACAGAAGAGTAGCCAGCAATTACCTTTCCATGCACAGAGGTAGAAGTTACTATTATGAGAGGCACCCAGGTATCGTGTCGTTTATTCTATCCACACTGCCTTTGTTAATAATATGTATGATTCATCTGTTGATAAAAGCAAGTGGTTACTACATTGGGAATTTATTCTTAATGATATCATATTTATATTCATTTTTTTTCTTCATTTTGTATTATTATAACTCTTACGCGTTCTTTGTCCTGTTTGTTTTTTTCTCCTTTTTCATATCATTGTGTTTACACGAATTTGCCCACGCGCTTGTTGCGTACAAGTATGGGGATATTACGATGGTTTACAAAGGCTACCTCTATCTAGACATTGTAAATTATTTAGACATTTTCCACACCCTCATAATACCATTAACAACGCTGCTTATAACAGGATTTGGGTTACCAGGAAATTTATATTGGCTGCAATTACACTTTATAAGAAGCAGATTTCAGATGTCATGTATTTATTTATCAGGCCCCATATCAGACATTGTGTGTATCCTGACAATTGTTTTTTTTTACAATTTTTACGCATACGTTAAGAATAGTAATAATTTAAGTGTGCAGCCTCACTCGATTTTATTTATATCTCTTGCGACGGCTGCTTCTTTCCTCGTGGATTCCTTTCTTTTAAACATTTGTCCATTTTTTGGCTTTGATGGATGGGGCATCGTGGAGCCCTACATTCCCTACTGCGTACATAGCCTGTAAGGAATGAGCAAATCATCTCCTAGATGCGTGCCATTGGGCATATCATTGTGCATATCTTTGCGCATATCATTGTACACATGCGAGTGCCCACGAGGGCATACACCACACATGTACGTTTTTCACCCTGAATCCCTTCCCGCTAACATGGTATTGTTGTTTGCGAAACATTAAGTTTTATACCTCCCCTTTCTCCCTCCGCAGAATCAACGAAGAAATTGTGAACACCTATTTGTCCTACATATGCCCTCTCCTGGTTTTTATATATTTTAACTTTATCGAAACCAAGTTCCTCTTCTTCACAAGGATTGTTAACTTTATTTTGGGGCGCATTCTCGGAATTGAGGTTTCGCATGTGACAATTGGAGTTAACGCATTTCCGACGTTATATGCTTACCTCAGAAATTTGTAGCGTTTTAGGGAGTGTTGTTGTATATGTGCCCATTTTCCATCTTTTCGAATATTTTGCTACCTCATTTTTGTCAATTTTTTTACCCCGTCTTTTTGGTAACCTTTTTTTTCCCCTTATTATTTCTTCGTGAGACCACGTGCATAACGTGGTGTGTTACATTTTTTTTTTTTTTTCCCATAAAGAGGTATGCGTGAAGTGGGCATAAAACGCCCCCCAAAATGGTCGCATGCACCCATTCTTTAGCGCCGTCATGCAACGAAAGAGAAAGGGAAAAGTGCACCTACGTTATGGAAGACGTTATGATGTGTGTGAGTTGGCATGTGAGCCACTTCGCCTCCATTTGGCACGACTGAACAAGGTGATTCGATATTGTGGCGCTTTCGTGGTGGATAAGTGGTGCTGTTCACAGGACCCACCAGTGGGTAGCTAAATCCACGTGCACGCTCTTATAAGTTTTTTTTTTTTTTTTTTTTTTTTTTTATGGTAACTTTTGAAGGGGAACACAACGAATGGTTGTCTCCCTGGATGATTTGTTTGCAGTTGTGTGTGGAAACTTATGTATATGAACATGTATGAACTAAAAAAAATGTTACATGGATGGATATTTATCAATGGTTGGAATAACAATGTGTGGGCATTCTTTGGCTAGAAAAAAAAAAAAAAAAATGTCTCATATGTAATATTCAGACACAAATGGGGAACACCCATATGTGTGGACATAAATGCAACATGCATTTTGTTTAAGCTTACATTTAAAATTTTTTTTTTTTTTTTTTTTTTTGCACGCAGTAATATTTGTCGTGATGGGAAGGAAAAAAAAGAAAAATATGTATATATCACAAGGTGATTTTCTACTTGACTGAAATGGAGTTTTTCAGTCTTTTCGTAAAGCGGCAACAATTTGCATAAATGAATGGTGATTAATGACACGTATGGCATTTAAAGCTTATTCTGTGCCTTTGCATATCATCCATAATTTTGGCAGCTATATATAAATAGTACAATTAAAAATTTTGTACTAATTGTCTTTATTATCTTCATCATCAACATCACTATTGTTGTTTGCATTTGAAAAAGTAAAGAGTGTAGAATGTTTTCATAAAAAGTGTGTGTTCGTTCTTCCTTCATCATTGCGCTCATTAGGTGCATATTTCCAAACAGGTATAAATTATTTATGGACAGAAGGTATTCATTTGCCTTGTTCATCATAATATAGTGGTTTTCAAATTTATAGCTTTTGATAAATTCGATGAATTCAGAACTGTGTATTATTCCGCCACACACACAAACGTTAGGGTACTATATTTAACTAATTATATATTCGCTGTTGGGTTTGTTCAGTTTTGCAGCTTTGATTCGAAGTAGCGTTCGTTTGGTTAATAGTGCTTATATATTTGTTTTCCATTTTTCTTCCCATCTCATGAGAATAGTACATGTCCATGTTGTAATCATATCTTTTCAAGCTAGCGTGGAACTTGTGTAGAAAACTCATCGTCTTAGCACATATGCTAATGTTATATCTTATCCTAAGGACATGTGCAATGGTTAAATTGGGGTCATACTTTTTCGTGTACATAAGATAGCACATGGCAACTACTAAACATATGCTGTTGACCTTTTCCTTTTTATGATTTGACATACCCTGATTGCACATGATTAGTAAATTTGCGTTCTGTGTATTTTCCTCCTTGTGCGTATTCAGCATTGCGTTTTTTTGTGATGGTCCTCTATCTGCACTAGCGCTTGAGTTTTGCATATCGCATGTTCTGATTTCAACATCCTTTTGCTTATCTGCATTTGCATTTGGAACCTTGGAATCCTGTGTGCCTCTATTTTCGTGAACATCAAAAATTTGCAGAATACTCTGTATAACGTCGTACATCATTCGGACGTCCAAAAGGTCTCCATACTTTACACATTCACCTGTGCGTATATTTGAATTTTCTACAATTCTGGTTGTCACATTATATCTCGAGTATTGTATTTCGTCTACATTTCTGAAATAAAATCCAGGGTCCGTAAAATCGTAAACATATTTTATGTTCAAATGTTTAGTTATGAATGGATTTGTAATATGGATGGGTGTTCCCACGAATATGTTGCTACAGAATTTTACAGGGTAATTAGCAGACGCTTGGTAATTGATGAAGGAAGCTATGTTTATTTTAGGTTTACTTTTCTCTATACATAAAAAGAAGTATTCCTTTTTAAAATTTTTATAGCCTCCTTTTAGTAAATAAAAATGAGCTTTCACATTGGCGAAGTAGGTATACAGTAGGTGTTCATAATAGTAATGTCTTTGCACCTTTTCACTAGTATGATAAAATATTACCTTTGTGTCTTTTTTCAACGCGATTTCTTTCTTCATTTCCTTTATTACTGGTTCGTTTGTTATGTGTACAGCATTATTGATATGGTCCATTTCGAATTCCTTTTCCATCTGAAGGTCAACGAGAAACAGGCTTCTGTTATTTCCATAGTGTAGCCACTGCTGGAAGTAGTTGTACAGGTGGGTCGGGGTTATCGTTCTGATGACCATATCCGAGCGAGTGTCCTCGTTGCCCTCCTTTGGGCAACCTTGAGGCTCCTTGGCTGAGCAATTTTGCGGGGCCTTTGTCAAATCGTCCTTCATGTCGCTGTTCATTCCATTCGTCATGTCATTCTTCATACCATTTTTCATGTCATTGGTCATGTCATTCTTCATGTCATTCTTCAAGCCATTCTTCATGTCATTCTTCAAGCCATTCTTCATGCCACTGGTGATGCCATTCTTCATCCCATTGGTTATGTAATTCTTCACGCAATTCATCATCCCATTCATCACCCCATTCATCATCCCATTCGTCATGCCATTCTTCATGCCATTCTTCATGCCATTCTTCAAGCCATTCGTCAAGCCGCACTCCTTCCCGTCTAGCTCCTTGCGTGCACCCACATCAACCTTATTGGTTTCTTTCCCCTGTAGCATCTCCCTTCTGACTTGCTCTTTCAAAGCTTCGAAATCTATGCATTGATACATGGTGGCTGGGGCTTACGATGTTTCGGGGGAGAGGGGTGTCACGGGGGGCTTAGTTTTAGTCTTTACGGAAGGTACAAATGGCCCTACTACCCTTGTACCACGAAGCCAATGACCGTGTACCAACTGGGCGTTTCTTTTGTGCACGATGTCGAAGCGGGGAAATAGGAAAAGAGCCCAATGGGACAGGGGAAAACAAGAACGCACGAAATTGGAGCGTGCAAAATGGGAGCACGCAAAAAAAAAAAAAAAAAAAAAAAAAAAAAA